CGCCCACCACTCACCTGCCCGGCCCCTTGCGGCGGTGCAGGGCCTGGCGGAACCAGCGCACGCAGGCCTGCATGCTGCCGGAGGTGTGTGCGCCGTCCAGGTACCAGGTGAGGGGCCCGCGGCTCAGTACCTGCGTCCGGCCCAGCCACACCGTGTCCTGAAGCCCTGGGGAAGGGGGCAAGGCAGCTCTCTCCAGCGAGTCGCCACAAGGATGCCCTTCCCACACCCTCTCCAATGTCTTCCACTTGCACACATAACCTGCCCGCAGCACGCACCTCAGTCTGAGCGCTCTGAGGAGCTGATCAGCCCAGGAGCCTAATACTGGTGCCAGTCAGTGGGATCAGCGATTCTGCTGCCTCATCTGGTGGAATCTTCTAGGCAGCCCTCAGAGAGGCTATCATCATATATTAGCCCTTAGCTCAGAGAGATTATGTCACAGAGCACCTGAGTCTTGAGACTGGGATGTGATTGAAGATCTACCTGGCCCCAGAGTTATCATGGCTCTGACATGGGACCTGGCACACAGTGAGCACACTGGAGCCATTTGCTGAAGGGGTTTAACAGCCATGAGTACCTACTACGTGCTGTAAGCTTTGGGGGAATATCAGCATTCTCAAGAACCTCATGGTCTTATAATGACGATGACAAGGATGACAGTAACGGCAGCTGCCACTGGCTGGACAGTTTATCTCATACTCGCCAGGCTCTGGGCTCAATCCCTTGGTGATGTCACCTCATAGTGGTTCCTATAATCATCTCATCTGGCAGGTGGGGAAACTGAGGCTCAGAGAGAGTTCATGAACTCAAAGTCAGAGATGGTTACTGATTTTAGAGTCCTTTCTCTTGGGCACCAAATAGAACTGACTTCACCTCTCAAAGAGGAAAGTGAAAGAAACATCCGAAAGGACCTGGCTGGGCAGGAGGGGCTAACTCACCGTGCCGCATGTGGGATGTGGGCTGGAACACGGGGGCTAGAGGCAGCTGACACAGAAGGCTGGGCCTGGGCGGTTTCAGCTCCTCGATGCCTGGAGGGCAAGAGAGGGCTGTGTGGGACTGAGTGTTCTCAGAACCCTCAGAGGCAGGCTCCACATGTTCCCTGCCCACCAGCCTGTCCACTTACCTTGGTGATTCTTTTGCTGCAGCCAGCAGCGGGCCAGCTGCAAGGCCAAGGCAGCATTGGACCGCTGGTGCTCTCCATCCAGGCCCAGGGTCAGCGGTGGCCCCCCTTCCTCCAGGGCTTCCAGCGGTGGGCACAGGTAGAGGGGACACTGCAGAGAAGTCAGGGGAGCTGCTGCTGCCACCCTGGACAGGAGGCCCTTCCCGGTGTCATCAGCCCTTCCATCTTTCCCCACCAACCAGAGCCCACCAAGCCTTGTGCCAAGAACCAAGATGTGCTCCAGCTGGCCGAGCAGCTGGCGCTCGGGCACAGATGAGCAAACTGCAGCCCAGGGGGTAAACGGATGGCCAGCACTTCTGATGAGACTCACTGAGATCTGCTCAGCACGCTCCTTCAGTACCGCCAGTGGACCACAGGGCTGCAGCACGGTGAAGGCAGGCACGCCACGCTGTGCAGGAGAGACAGCGAGAGGGGCTGCTGAGGCTCCTCCACCTTCATCTCTGGCCCCTAAACACCGGGGTCTGATTGGCCCATTTAGCTTCCTCCCTCATAAGACCTATGGGAACCCCTCAGTGGGGAGACTAAGGCTGGAGATGAGGCTCAACTTGCTCCAGTTACATGCAGAGCTGAGACAAGAACCCAGACCCCACTGATACCCAAGACCTCGCCTAAGGATACAAAGGACCCTGCCCCAGCCCCACTTCCCTGAGCCTTAAGGGCCAGGACCAGGCTGTCCATGTACCTCCCCTCCCTGGGGCTGCCCAGTCACCTTGAAGATGCCCCCTTTTTGCCATGCGATCTTCTCTATCGTGTCCCCCAGAAGGCTGGTGTGGTCAATGCCAAGAGAGGAGACCCCACATACCACAGGCTTCCTGCAGAAGACAAAAGGGTCATGATGCCCCTGCCCTGGGCACCTGGGCCTCCTGGGCTCAGGACCACCATCCCTCTCCCCAAGCAGCCGCCCTCACCTAACGATGTTGGTGCAGTCGTAAGCCCCACCGATACCCACTTCCACCACTGCCAGGTCCACCTGCAGAGGATCAGAGGGCATGGCAGGGGGTATGAGGACACCTGGATGCCACATGGGAGCCCCCCGCCTGCTAAGATTCCCCTCCCCAAGGCCTTAGATGCAGGGTTCTAGGAGTGGGTACACACCTTCTCTTGGAGGAAGATGTTGAAGGCCATGAGCGTGAGGAAGCGGAAGTAAGGGGGCATGGAGACACAGCTGCGGCTGTCCTGTGGACAAGAACACATCAGAGCCTGGGGCCCCTGCAGCCTTTGCTCTGGGAAAATGGGGTCCTGGGATGTGCAGCCCCTTGTGGGTTCATCCACCCACTCCAGAGCCCCTTCTGCCCCCACCAGCTCCCCTGTATGTAAACCTTGGTCTCCGAAAGCCGATGATAGAGGTGCCAGAAGTGCTTGGTGAAGAGCTCGGGGCTGATGGGCTGCCCATTGATACGGATCCGTTCGCGCACCTGTACCAGGTGGGGAGAGCTGCCAGGAGACCTAAGGTTACTGGGACTTCCTGCTCGAGTCCTCCAAGCCTTCCTCCAACTCCCCTGCCCCCATCAGACTTGGCTTTTGGAAAAACAAATCTGATCATGTCACTGTCAACCCTTCTGTGGCTTCCCTCTGCCCTCAAGAGTCCTAGTTTTTCACCTCGGCCTCCCAGGCCCAGGTGGGGCTGATGCCACTGGCCTGTGTCTCACCTCTCCCGAGTCCCTCAATAGTTCCCTGTGCCCCAGCCCTTCTGTGCATCCCTGGGCTGGCCCACAAGGCTGCATAGGCTCAAGTTGAAGGTTGGGTTTTTACCCAAAAACTTATTTTAGAAGAGAGATTGTCAGCTTATATTTGAATCCTCAAAGAAAGACCCTCTAGTATTGAGTCCATCTCTCCATTTCTTTATTTTGAACAAACAACTGGTTAGGGAAAACACAATGGCCTGAAACGATCTCAGTGAGCAGGTTTCAGACGCTTAAAGGTCACTTGAAGGAACTGGTTACAGAAAAGGAGGCAAAAATCTTAAATGTCCCAGCCCCAAGGACTAAATCCTGAGCAATTAATGGCCAGGTTAATCCCACTGCTTTACGAGGAGGAGGCACGTACAGCCTAGGGGAAGAGGAACCCATGTCTCCCCACCCCGCCCCTGCTCATCTTCTGATGTGAGTCACGATGCCTGAGTTCAACCAAGAGGGGCTGCTGCCTTGAGGACAAAGCAGCAGCTGGGGCTGGCCTAGGGGAAGGGCTCCCCTCCGCTGCCCACTCATGAGGCAGCACGCATGTCATAAACTACCCTTATCGTTTACGCCCTTACAAGCCAGGTTTTCTGCTCCTTACTGCCAAGGCATCCTAATTGATAAATATTTCTGTGTGATCTACAATTTGTACATGGAATTTAAGTTGATAAAAAGACATGACTATTCTAGCTGTATTTAGTTTGCATATTCAAGTTATTGCCACCCTCCTCCAATTTTTTTCATTACGAAAATTAAACATTTCCATAAACTTGAGCCAATGTGGTGAGTGCTAATGAAATGCTTGTTGAATGAACAAAAACTGGGCGGAAAGAGTTGCAGCTCAGCTCTGGGGGGTGTCCCTGGCCCTGAGGTATTGGCTGGTTCCACAAACCCCCAGAGATCATGAAGACACTACATCCCTCCACATCTCAGTACCTAAAGAATCCTGTCTTCAGACCGTAGCTTCGGAGGATACGTTCAGTGAAGGCACAGGTGGAGCCCTAGGAAGAAAAGTTCTTGTCTGGGCAGTCCTCACCCCACCAAGTGGATACACTCCCCCTGGATCCTGTCCTTCACCTTCCCCTTCGTCCCAGTGATATGGATGATGTTTAGCTGGTCCAAGTCCTCCACCTGGGACAGAAAGACAAGGTCCCCAAGTCAGCAACAGGACTCACAGACAAACAGAAGGGGGAGGGTGGTCACCAGCCCTACCCACTTTACCTGCAGCCCACTCAGTGCCAAGTACTGCTTCATAGCTTCCAGCTGTGTCTGGGGGTCACCTCGCTGGCACTTCACCTGTTCCAGGTAGCTGGCATTGGTCTGCAGGGTGTTGAGTGTGTGCACAGCATCCTGGCAACCACAGTCCCCAAGTAGCAGGTTAAGGCTCAGTAGGGGTCCATAGGGACAGAGGCACCCAGTATACCAATGGCCAGGTTGCCTCAGCCTAGAGATTAGACACCAGTGAGAGAGAAGTGGCATCGTTCCAGCTCTGGCAGAGATGGGAGCCTGGGGCAGCTCAGCCCCACCCACAAGAGTGCCAGGCTAAGCAGGTAGCATGACTAACGGGATTAGCCTTGCTTTTGGTTCGGGCTCCCCAGGCTGCACCCCTGGGGCCTTTGCCCTCATTCCCTCCAATGGGGTCCACAGCTACATTGGGCCCCTACTGGGGAGAGGCTAGAACCACAGAAGGTTGGGGTCTTAGAACTGGAGGAATTCGCACAAGGAATTCCTAAAGTCTTCCATGCCTGACCCTGATGACTGGGATTCCGTATTCCGGCCAAGGGGAGAGCTGCCAGAATACGAGGTACTTTCTAAACTACTAAAGGAAGAGGAGGTAGCGCCAAGGTGAGATAAGGTGATGGTTGTTTGAATTTTGCAAAATTTTGCCTGGAGGGATATTATTTGTTCTTGTGTACAAAAAAGAATAAATTGGCATTCTTGTGCCCTCCGCCCCTCCCCCCCACAAAAGAGCAGAGCTGCTTGAAGCCACCGTATGGGGAAGAGAAGGAGTCTGGGAGGGAGAAGGGGTGTGCCCAGGGTCGCCCAGCCAGGAAGGCTGGTAGGTCAGCCTCAGGAAGGTCCACACCGGGGGTAAGAGTAGGGGTGCTGTTTATTTCCCCTCAGGACCTCTATGTTTGGTTGGAGGCCCCACCCCATCAAACTGCTGCCACCTGCCTGGCTGGTGTGTCTGGCAACTGGCCCCTGGCATAAAGCTAAGTGGAAGCTTTCTGTTTTCCGGATTCTTGCCCCACCCCCACCCCACTGCCCCTGATTCCTGACTGGGGAGACGCTGGAGCACCCGAACCCCGGCCGGCGCCCCTGGACCTCGTGGTCCTAAAATCCGACGCCCCTTCAAACTCTAACGTGGGACACTTCAGCCTCAGAATTTCCAGATCCGGCGGCCCAGGCCCAACTTCCTGGTCCCTGTCCCCCACCTCGGGACTAGTGGATGCCCACGCCCTCGAGGTCCCCAGACGCGGGTTTCCCGGTACCCTCCTCCGCGGGCGGCCCCGGGGGCGGCGCGGCTCAGGCCTGGCCACAGGAGGGCTTCCCACGGCCGCCGGCCCGCGCGCGGGATACCTGGTATTCCATGCCCGGCTCCTGCGGCGCGGGCCTGGCGCTCAGCCCCCGCCTTCCCGCGACCGCGGGCGTTACACCACGCGGAGAAACGNGCCCCTTCACGGCCTCCGCCAATAAGCGCCTCCCAGGGAGCCCACCGGCACCAATGAGAATCCGCGGATGCCTTCCTTGCGAGGGGGCGGTCTCTGAATCCGGGGATTTCGCAAAGATTTGTGAGGGGCAAGCTCCCAGGGCGGCGTCCGCCTTAAACTTGCGCTGCTTTCGTCCCTCCCCCTCCCCAAATAGCCGTTCGTCGTCAGCAGCCCTCAGCCTCTGCTCCAGACCAGAATCAGATCCGAACCGGGTCCAAGCCGGATGAAATGACCTTATGGGGGGGGTCACTGAACCCCAAATGTCGCAAGGTAACGCAGAGACCGCGGGGCTGCGAGGATGCGGTGTCTGCCCTCGCGAATCTGACAACCCGATTGCGGGCCAATAGACCAAAAACCCTAGGACCTGTGCCGCTGGGGTCCCTGGCCCACCGACCCTGGGCAGTCTGGGAGGTCTTCCTGTAAGAAAGCAACCTCCTGGGGGAGGCCTGGGGATAAGGGGGAGTCGGCGAGGTATAGGGATGGGGGGGAGGTTTCCAGGCCAACGGAGGGAACGGTGAGTGAAAGGCAAACGATTGGAGAGAGACAGCTAAGCACCCAAGACCTGCACTCCCCCGCCCCCCGCCGTTGAGCCCAGCTGCCCTCAGCGCCAGCGAGCTCGGTCCAGCAGCACCGCGGGGCCTGATGAGGAATTTGGATGCAGTAAATGGTTTTAAGAGAGATGACAAGATCACATTTGCACTTGAAGACTTGCTGTGTGGAGGAGCGCCTTTCTTTCTATTTACCAGCTGGGGTGCATGACTCATTCGATGAAGCCAATTAGATCTTAAAATTTTTAAAAAAAGTGTTTCAGAACTTTTTTCCTGTTACCTGCTCTGCCCCAGCGGCTAGCATGGAAAAAGCAGAGTGGAGATTCCCTTTTTACAGCTGAGGTCTAAAAAGGGGGAAGGAGGCCTACAAACATCCCTCTAGGGAAGTTCCCACGGACCAAAGGCAGCCCTTCAAAAAACGGATGGGAACTTCAGGACCTCTCTCCCTCTTTCCTGCAGGCATTGAGGTAAATATTTATTGGAGACTGGTTTTGAAATAAACAAATGATGTGTTGGGAAGATTCCTTCATTGGCTGGCTTTACTTCAGCTCTTCTCATCGCTGCTGGGCACCCCCCACTGGCCCCATGGGAGAGAAAGAGGTTCTTTCCATATTTGGTTTGGTGTTTTTTTTAATAATTGAAACTTTCTCTATACACAGAAATGTATATAATTTAGTAACTGCATAAAAATGATCATAAAGAAGCTTTAAAAGTTTTTCTTTTGCTTACCCCCCCCCCTTTCCTCCTTGGGAGATCCTTGACAACCAACTATGTGTCCCACAGTTTTCTATGCCCATGAAATCACAGACACACCGAGATAGCTATAGGGCCTTGTCAATGCAGATGGTACTATTTTGTCTTAACTTTTCATGCTCAACACCAAGCTTAGAGGGATTCCTCTAAGATATCCACTTAGCAAACAGGCGAGGAGCCCTTCTCTGGCCAGGCACTGCTCCAAACACTTTCTCCGTAGTTGCTCATTTAATCATCACAATCCTGTGACACAGGAGCCAGTATTATCACCCTTGTTTCACAGGTGAGGAAACTGAGGCACGAAGGAATAAAGGCACATGCCCAGGTCACAAAATCAAGATTTGAACTCTGGGGCCAGGAGTCCTTGTTCCTAGCACCTGTGCCTCCCTCCTTCCCCCTGCCCCCCCCAGGCAGGGGGACTGCTAACTCAGTGGCGGCAGCAACACCATATTGCACTCCCGCTTGCCTGCTGAAGGGCATTTACATAACTTCAGTGTTTTTGCTATGGAGAGTGTACACCAGGGGCTTCCATTCCTGTGGTGAGAGCCCATGGAGTGGGAGGGCGGGGTCCAGGGGTGTTGGCAGTTCCTCCCCTCAACGCTATAACATTTGCGGGCACCCCTTCCCCAGCATGTCCCCCAGACTGCTGGGTGTACAGTACCTTGTCATTCTCACTCTACATTTCCCTGGCTGCAGTGAACTTGAGCATCTTTGCATGCATTTATTTCAAAAAACTGCTTCACTCCTCCTTGGCCCATTTTTCCAATGTCTGTTTGTCACCTTGTCAAATATGAAAGCATGTTGGGCATCACAGACATCACTCCGCAGTTCTGTCCTCCATATGGCAAGTGTTCCTTTTCTGAATCCACTGCTGGGGGTCTCTATTGATTCATACGTAACAGGGGGCCTTGGAACTGCGGCCTATTCCTCCAGGACTGTGGTCCCAGGGAAAATGACATTCCAGGAGGGAGACTCCCTCCTCCCGTGTAAGGTGGGAAACCCACCTGCCTATGTTCCTAACTCTTCACTGATTTCTTTCCTTGCCTGGAGCAAAGCTGCCTGTGCCAACCTCCCTGCTGCCCTGCGAGCAGCCATACCCGGAGCGGGGAGGATTCATAGTCCTGGCAACCATGACCCGCAGACCTCTGCTCCAGTCGTAACAGAAATAGATATACAGACACAGAAGGCAAGAAACAGCGCAGAAAATTCCGGGGGTCCTACCTGCTGTCATCCCAGTTGTGCAGGAAATTATAAGTGGCGACTGAGACCTTGGCAAAGCCAACCAGTGGCCTTGGGCAGGTCACCTATTCCCTGGGCCTGTTTACTCCATGGTCTCCAAGGACAGTTTTCATAGCCAGTGATGCCGGGAAATGTGTAGGCGTAACATTTAAGGGGGAGGGGGTAGAATAGATTTCTCTTATTTTTATGTTTAAATTCTAATATTTTTGGATGGGTGATACATCACATCATTCAAATAGTCAGAAGTACAAAACAGTGTACAGTGAAAAGCTCCCCTCCCACTCCAGGTCCCAGCATCCTAATTCCCCTCCTCCAAAGCTATCAAAGTTATGTTTCTTGAGATCTTTCCAGAGAAATTTTATACATTTACAAGCAAATACAAATATATAGAGATTTCCCTTTTGTAGCCACAGATCTATGCAAGTCTGTGTTGTGCTTTTTCCACATGCCTTTATGTCCTGGACCCGGCTCTGAGCCGTGTCAGTACCTAGGGCCTCCCCACTAGCTAAGCTGTTCTTCGAAGCGGCGCAGCGCTCCTTGGCATGGAAGTACTGCTGTGTATGTGGCCGGTCTACCGAGGGACATTCTGGTTTCCAGTATTTCGCCATCACAAGCAGTGTTACAGTCAGTAACATTTTATCCGAGTCATTTCTGCCATGTGCGAGTGTATCTGATTCATAAATTCCAAGAAATGCAGCTGCTAGGTTGGAGGTGATTTGCATTTGACACTTGTATACTTATTGTCACGTGGTCCCCCAGAGGGGTGGGGCTGGTTTCTGCCCCAACCCCACCCCCGCAGGGCATGAGCCAGCTTTTTCCACCAACACAGCTGTTAGCCAGCTTTGATCCTTGCCAATATCATAGCTGGAAAAATGGATCCTCAGGGTAGTTATCAATAGCATTTATTTTACTTGGAGGAGGCTGAGCACTTTTTCTAATTTTAAAAAACCATTTGTGTTTCCTATATGGTTTGCTCACCTCCTTTGTATCATTGCTTTTAAAAATAGATACCTTTATTGATTTCAGAGACAGGAAGGGAGAGTTGGTGCTCAACTGCTGAGCCACTCCTGCCAGCCTGTATCATTGCTTTTTACATGAAAAGTCAGAAGTGTTCGTAGAAGGAGAGAGAAGTGTAAATGAGAAAATCAAAGGCACCTTCATCACTGTTACCACCATGATGGCATTTCTGCTCTCCAGAAAGGACAATAGAAACAAAACCACTGTCTGGAGAGAAAAGTCAAGAAAACAAGGGTGTGGGGAGACTGGCCAGTGAGCCAGTGTCCACCCACTGAGGGCTGAAATGAGCCCATCATTTCTGGGGATATCTTGGGGGAAGGAGTGGACTGTCTCAATGAGGACAAATCTCCAAAGACCACCGTACTCCAGAGAGCCTGGCCTATAGAGGTCCAGCTACCCCTTCCCTCCACCCAGGGCTCTGTGGAGACCAGGAGAGGTTCAAGCTCATTGGCAGCTTTGTGCAGAAGCCTAGTTTCAGAAGGGAAGGGAGATTTGGGATGCCCGCTCCCGAGCTCTGACCCTCTGATATACACAAGGACCCTACAGCTCTGAATACCTATTTACATCCAGTGACCTACAAGGAGACACTTGTCTGTGACTGGGGGAAGGACACTTGCCTCAGGCAGAGTTCTGCACCCTCAGTGGGCCAGCTCCTCCTGATGCTGCCAAAGTGTTAATGAATTTCATTTATTAGGAGAAATGCGCCTCCCTTTGACCCTGCAATTCCATTTCTAAAATGACCCCAGAAACAATTGGAGCTGTGACTGGAGACCCGCAGGCTCCATCTCAGGTGGCAGCTGACAGCTGATGACACCCCTCTTCCCGGTCCCTTTGTTCTCTGGGCTTCCTGATGCTCCCTTCTACTCCTCTCTCCTTGCTGGCTGCACCTTCTCCAACATCTTCCCACTGGAGGGCCCAGGACTCACATCTCTCTCCAAGGTTCTGCTGTCCCAGGTCTGTGATAGCATCTGACTTTCAAGCGTCTCTTTAGTGACCTACGGCCTGTGAGCATCTAACCACACCTAAACTAATCACATCTGGCCCTAGAGCATCGTCCTGACATGCTAAAGTTGTGGGGTTCAATCCCCAGTCAGGGCACATACAAGAGTCAACCATTGGGTGCATGGATGAGTGGAACAATAAATTGATGTCTCTCTCTCTCTTTTTCTCTCTAAAAAAACAAATTAATTAAGAAAAAATAACTTTTAAACATCCACAACATGTTCTCTTGCATCTCCACCCTGAAACCTGTTCCTCCCCAGGCTTTGCCAGCTTGGAAAACAGCTCTACCATCCACCCAGCTGCCCAACTCTAAAACTGGGCCTCACCTTAGGTTTCCCTCACCCCCAAACCCAGCCATCCACAGGCCTGTCCGCTCAATGCCCCCACCTTCCCTC